TTTACTAAAACTCTTATTATAATTATGTAGTTGATCAAAGTACGGTTCTCTTAAATCAGGAAAATTCCTTTAGCCTTCCACCGCACGGCACAATTGTTGAGGACACACTCCAACTAACCTCAAATCCTATAAGTTTAAACATTAGAATTTGAATCAGAAATTAATTTCCTAGCCACTTGAATAAAGGAAAGAACAAAGGAGATAGGTGCTAAAGGATGCAAAACTTGAATGAAGGTGATGTTTGATAAATGTTAGCGCAACCATAGCAGGCTCTGACTCAGCTTGTCGGTCTAGTACAAAACAGTGCCCGTATTCATATCCTGCTATTCGTGTTATATTTGCCATTGGACGTTAAACAACAACCCATCAACATAATTTTTTCGTTAATTGAAGTAAATTATTTCTTTGCAAAATATTCGAATATAAAATATGATGTTTTTGATTTCAAATATATTCGAAACATAGATTCGGATATTTGGAAAAGTACTGGTATTAAATTCATTAAGGTATAGTTTACTTAGCACTTTATATAGTTTTTAACGTTCCCCCACGGTTTTTGTGCATGGGTTTCCTGTTGCTCGATCTTTAATTTTCCGTGTAATTTTTTGCTATTATTGTTTGTCTTTGCGACTTTTATTTTTGGCAATGTGTTGTCCGTTTTTATTGGACTTAGGTTTTTTATTACCGGTTTATTACTTGGTAACACTGTCGGTTTCAACATCTTCATATTTCCTCAATCAATCACAAATTAGACTACTACGTGCCGTTACATGCGTGGCTTGTGTACATTTCAAAAAAGAAAAAAAAAAGATATATTATAGAGATTTTTATGTTGTTGTGGGTTGTTATCCTATGATATTTCTTGTATGTAAATATGTTATGCATATTTTAGCATGTTTGTGAAAGAGTAGATATTAAAATCTGCTCGATCTTTGAAGCAGTCAATGCTTGTGCAAAGGACTACTGGTCTTGATAACAAATTCCATAGTTACTGTACTATAGTGTGTGTGGATAAAATGAATTTTAGTAAATGATTATTGGTTTGAGTTCATTCAGTGAAAGTAATGAACTGTTCTCAAGCTTAGTTCCTACTAATGATATTATCTCATATTTGTTTGAAAGATTCTTTTAGATTACTTTTTCGAAAATAAAGCTGTCGATTTCATTTGCTGTTGTTTCATCTGCATCTCTATTTCATTTAAGATCTGATTGTATGGTTATGACTAAATATTTAGTTGCTGTTTCTGTTTACAGAATATGACCGTCAAGGATATGCTCATGATTGCCTGGTATCTTTTTTATATGTGTGATTCGGGGTATGACATTTTTTTTTGGATGGAACGACATTAACCAATCTTTTTCCCATTGGGCAGCTGAGTTCAAGTCCTGTTGTAGTTTGGATGCATCATCTTTTTTTAATGGTTCTGTAGATGATGCTGTCATCGGCAAATAGCTTTAAAGTGATGTGTTCTTTTTGTGTGTTGTTATTATTTGTCCTTCCATTATTAGCTATGTGATATGTTCCATTATTTTACAAACTAGACGTGCTAAAGAAATGGGGTTTCAATGAATTACACTGTATTTGTCTTCCCTTTTGAACGTAGTACAGAACGGTTTGCTTGTTTCCAGGCTATGTATTTGTGTGTGTTGATTGATTTTTGAAAGACGAGTGTGATGATTGGTCATTCATTTCGATCTTTTAACACCTAGTCAAAAAGTTAACCAGGGTCTGTGGCCTTATTTGGGTTGATGTTATATAGTATTTTTTACGATCTTTCTGATATATGAATTTCATTCATTTGTGCATGAAGATTCTGTGGTGAATGACTTTGGAAATTGCTCCTTTATGATGTTTGCCTTATCTTAGGTGTTCAGCATCATGATTTCTATAGTGCCAATGATGTTCCCATGGCCAGCGCATATTTACTAGTATCTGCAATGTTGTTCATATGTTTGTATCTTTTTTTTCAGTTATGGATTATTCTTTGATTTTTTTTGTATACAGACGTTTGTCTTGTTACTTTTTATTTAAGGCGGTCTGTCACATATCCATGATAATTTCATTTTGTGTGCTATTTGTGTTTTTTTTCGTGTGGCTTGGTGCTTTAGCAGTGACGGTTTGTATAACGTTTTCTTCGAATGTCAGTTGTAGTTTATTTGTGTTACTTTTGTGATAAATTCGTGCATACATTGTTTTGGTGTTCCTGCTAGTAGTCTGATGACTTTTTATGTTTATCCAATTTGTTGAGCTTTCTCGGTTCAAGTTCAGGACAATACAAATGTCAAATTTCACAATAATTCAAAAAAGATTAAAGGCAGCAAACCAAATTTAATAGTAATAATTATTCAATAATTAGATAAAAGGAACGTTTGCCCTTTAGAGTTCAATTAATCACCCGAAGCAAGGATTTGTATACAAATCCTTGCCCGAATTAAATCAAACTTGGATTTGTCATAGATTAAAATAACTTGGTACTGAATATTTAAACAATATGTCCGAGTCGCGTAAATTTATTTGTAAATGATTAAAACTGTTTACCAAACTTTGAATGTTTCGAATAACTAAGGATTTGTTTTACTCCAGGAATAAATTACCTTAGTTGTATTCTTAGCTGGTCTTCACTCAAAACTTGATATTATGGGAAAATATTGTCAAGATTGGTGTCTTACTCTTAACCCAAATAAAACAAAAAATCATATGGTGATTTCAATAAAGCAGGCAGACATATCCGCTTCAAATTTGAATACAAAGAATATGCAATAGAATGTGTACAACATTGTAAATACCTAGGTGTGTATTTCAGTGCTTTAGGTATATTATCCTATAATCAGAACGAGTTATATATACAAGAAAGCTTTAAAAGCATATTTTAAATTTAGAGAAGATTTATTATCTCTAAATCCTAGCTTAAAAACTAGTATGCATGATTTTGGTCATACTATTAAGCCTATTCTTCTTTATGGAAGTGAAATTTGGAGCTCATTTAATCCCTTTGTAGCAAAATTTAGATCTGGAGACCAGGTAACATTAGATAAAATTTATTTGAATTTAACTTGTGAAAAGCTACACTGTAAATTTTGTAAATTTATCTTGGGAGTGCACAAAACAAACCACAAATTTTGCAGTCTTATCTGAACTTGGGTCGGTTTCCACTGTACTTTGACTTAGTCCATTCTATTTTGATTATAGACTCATTTCCTTTATTACAAGATGTATACCAGCATTCAAAAACTTGATTTTCTCAGCAGAAATCGTCATAGTATGGCTCTCTCCAACAAATTTTAAAAAATATTCCTGGGTTTGCAAACCTAATTAAATGATGGGGAAAATATTTAAAAAAAATACCATCATGAAAGTATTGAAAGAGACATGTATAAAGATTTGGAAGGATCAACTGATCAAGAATTCAGAAGGGAAGCTCCGCACCTGTAAAATTTAAGACTAATGATGGTCTCGAAAAGTATCTAAATATAAAAAGCAATTTTGAGCTTAGTAGATCATTAACAAAATTTAGGGTGTCATCTCACCATTTGCAGATTGAAATAGGACGATACCAAGGTACTTCTCCACACCTTAGACTGTCAGCAGTGTAACTCGGGTAATATTGAAGATGGTGTTCACTCATCTTTTTTATCGCACAGAATATACCGAAGACAGACAGCACTATATCACATTATTTCGGAACCATGTCCTAATTTGACAAATTTAAATTCCCAAGAGAAATTACTATGGCTGCTACCTTGTGAGAACTCTACTGTGTTAAAAGAGTTGTGTATATTCATGAATAAACACTGCAAATAACAGATTTATATGACATGTTTCACATAATTAGCAATTGTTGTTATTTATTAATTTATTTATAAATTGACCAGATTCGATTTCTCTATTTATTTTGTTCATCTGCTTCTGACACGGGGAGGATAGCTGTAACTGCCTATCGCAATCAACAGTATATCCTAGAGCACCGTCCCTTGGTGTCTCCTGCAGATGAACCAATATCAATCTTTACAGATAATAATTTAAGTATGTTCAAATTTTTTGTTTTGTTTTGTTATATGATTTACTTGTTCATCTGCTTTTGACACGAGAAAGATTGCTGTTGCAGCTTTTACAACAATATATCCATGAGCATCGTCATCTGCAGTATATCCTAGAGCACCGTCCCTTGGTGTCTCCTGCAGATGAACCAATATCAATCTTTACAGATAATAATTTAAGTATGTTCAAATTTTTTGTTTTGTTTTGTTATATGATTTACTTGTTCATCTGCTTTTGACACGAGAAAGATTGCTGTTGCAGCTTTTACAACAATATATCCATGAGCTTCGTCATCTGCAGATGAACAAACTATATATCTTAACCTTATAAGACAATTGTGCTGAACACAAGGTGCACTGCTGGACATAGAAATAATAAAGGGGAAACATATTCAAGAGTACTTATAGTGTATTTTTATTATTAATGCTATTGTGTCTCAAAATATCTGTCACTTTATATGCTGTTCAATGTCTCATATTTGTTGCTTATATTGTTATATCCAATTATAATTGTTAATTGTAAATGCCCCACTATGGACCCTGATTGGAATAATAAAATATTTGATTTGATTATTTGATTTGTATTTGACAGAACCTTTCGGAATTTTGAGTCTTCAATGCTCTTCAACTTCGTACTTATTTGTCCTTTTTAACTTTTTTGATTCGAGCGTTACTGACGAGTCTTTAGATTGATTGATTGATTGTTGGTTGCTTTACGCCGCATTAGCACAACAAGGCTATATCGCGGCGAACGAGTCTTTAGAAGAAAGGGGCGTCAGTATGATGAGTTCAGTTATTTTCTATTATATTGGCTATCTTTTTCTTAATATTTATACAAATCCTTGGACAGGAATATAATTTTATTGAGACACAAATCTAGCTAAATAATACTAGAGACATATTTATATATAATACGTCACACATTAATGATTGTTTCCGGATGTAATGTTTATATCCGCTCCGAACTTCATTCAGATTTTACACACGCCTTTTTAGAATAGGGTTGTGACCTCCATTAGTTTTTATCGAAAATATTTCAACTCTACTGAAACAAAATATGGCTGAAAGTGAATCAAGAGTAGTTATGATAGCAGTTGATGCTAGTGCTCAAGCAGACGAAGCCTTTGAATGTAAGTTAATCCGTTTCTTTTCTTGTAAAAACATGACAACGTGTTTATGCAATAACCACCTAGTTTGTAGCGTTTCTAAAAGAGGATGCTCGACAAGGAGAACGATGATTGAGTGGATACCTGAAGTCGGAGACAGACAGAAAGTGGAAAACTTTGTGGGAGATTAGTTTATATAGAATATGTCATTTTTTATTTATATGAACACATAATTACTGAGAGGTACTGTATGTAAAGTTGAGAAGTGAAGTGCCATAGTCAGATAGTACAGTTTTTATACGCCCGTTTACGGGACGTATTATTGTTCTGTTAGTGTTACATGAGAAATGTAAATTTGTAGCAAGGCTTTATGTATGTTCAAGTCACTAACAATGTTTGCTTAAAAGATTGATGTTAATGACACTATTCAACTAATAGCATTAGCAGAGCTTGAAGTTGAAAAGACATGTTTTATGAGTCAGGAGAAAACAATTTGGTAGTTATAATGCAAGATACATGTACGATGCAGTCCGGTAAATCCGCCCACATAAGGCTTTGATCATATGTATTTCTGCTTAATTCAATACAAATTGTATCAAATTTATTTAAATCGATTCACTGACCATGCTGACTGACGAATCAACTTTGAGTAGTTTATCTCATTTCCCCAAAAATATCTGAAATAAATTTTAAAATCAACAAAACAAGTTGGTCATCCGTGTTTTTATCGGAAATGTGTTTGTCCGGTAAATCCGCCCATGCGCAATAAATATGTATGGAGGGTCAGTTTATCACATATTTATGAGAGGAGAAGGTGATCTATTTATTAATAGACCACTTATAAAGGGATTCCAGATAATCCAAAAAAAAATTTCAAGTCAGAAATGAGTTTTGTAAGCAATAATATGATTATAGTTAGCTTTAGGAACTGTATTATATATATCACTAGATATTTTCGTAATAAAGGATTTTTCTAATGTTTTTGTAATGTATCATACATGTACTAGCTCTAATTAAAGCTTTTGATTTGATTGATTTATGGAAAACTAGTCATTTCATGTAGAAATAATTATTGCGTCTTGAAAGGCTATTTTAATTTTTTGCCGTCACATCACATGTCGCAGGAAGCCTTTCAAGAGGACATGATTATTTGAACTAGGGAAAAGGAGGGTGTCACTGGACTCCCAACAGTAATATATTTGTGCAAGACACATACAGGTACACATTTCAAATAGTCTTAATAGTATGATTACCCCTACCCATGAATACATTCAGAATACTGTTATTCATATTTTTCATCATTATGACATTGATATGATCAACAATAAAGAAAATCTGATTCTACAGTAATTTGAGAAGAACATTAGAGGTCTAACCATTGTATACATATACCATGCTCATTTGATTCCATTAGTGTCACATTCTAAATAGAAACGGTACATCAGTCTGCATAATAAACTTGTTGTAAAAAATGAATGAAAAGGAAAAAAATCTAATGGATTGTAATTTTCAGATTCAGTAAATAGCCACCCAGTGGTTGGTTAACCGTTATTAATAGTACATTTTGTTTATTTAGGTTTTAAATCGATTTTAAAGTGCATGTACATCATGTACATGAAGAAGTTTCAAGCTGCAACAGTAGGCAGCTTCTTACATATTTATAAATTTCAAAATGTTTTCAAATACTAACAGTGGGACAGAGTACCAGGTGGAAAGCCACTGCACACTTTCTACTTTTGATATCTATGTCAGTATTTGGATTAAAAGATTATCTAATTTGATACAATCTTATTCAAATTAGGTATGACTTCTATACATCTCACATTTTGGATTCACACCTTGATACACTTATTACAGTATATCAATTATTCTCTAAGATACATTTTGAAGAAGATAATCATCTAATCAAAGATAAATCATAATACGCATTTGAATAAAAAGCTGTGGCATTGACCTTTCACAAGTTTAAAATAGATTATTAAATTTGGTTCATTTAAATTCTCAAGATACCAAACAAAACTAATGCTAATTTGTAATACTGGTTGTATTTAAGTTAGCATGTACAATATATAGTTCAAAATTCAGAGTTCATTAGTATTGATATTGGTCAGTTACTGATTTAATTTCATTAGGAGTTAGTAAAAATTGTTATAGTTGTTTGTAATTTTTTATAAAAAATATAGAAAACAAATATCAAATTTTGATAATTTAACATCGATTTTAGATGTGTATTATCTCATAAGAAATTCATTTCTACAATGTACTTGAGTTGTAGATGGTCAAAGTTATCCCTTTGAGCATTATATGATGTTTTTGGCTATTAACAACAAAAACAATATTTCACAAACTACAAAATGAGCAAAAGCTGGTATCTTTTTCTTAGGTATCATCATGATTATCTGGACTTTACTAGAACAAAATACTGGAAGTAAAATCATTATAACTACACCAGGTGCAGTATTTGCTAATGTATTTGTACCTAAGGATTATTCAGAAGTCATTTATTAGCCCTTACATGTATGTTTCTATTTTACATGTACATTTGTATACTTATTTACATCCTAGTATGACAGTTTAATTAGGGGAACTTGTATAATGTGGGTCATTAGAGCCATAGCCTAATACATATAGCTGGTCAAAAGGTTACTCTATCCCACTGGCCTTATTCAACAGCGTTAAAGAAGTAGAACCAATGTCCCTCTAGCCTTATCCAACTGTGGTATGATGGTAGAACTGTAATGAAAATCAATAACGTCACTGCTACTGTAAATTTACCTGAAAAGAAGAAATAAAGTTCAATGAAGCTTGTTGTAAATTGAAAACCAATAAAAAAATGTTTGAAATGACTGGGAAGTATTTAGAAAATTTATGTAAAATTGTCCTTCAAAAGAGATTAGAATATAAAAGATATTTCTTGTTGACTTTAACATGTTTAAAGTGGTAATAAAATTTTCAGTCACAAAAAAGTGATGTTTACATAAAACCATATATGTTCTTGTACCAGTGTAACAATGAAAATACATATATTTTAGGCCTGTTTATATGATCTGGTGTGTCACTGGACAAAATGCCCAGTAAGGATAAAAAACTATATATCCAAAAAACAAAATAAAGAAAACCAATAAATATTGGTTCTTATGGGACCTAAAAATAAGAAATTACAGTAGATCTAGCTGCTCTTGTCTTTAAATATCATAAACATGTATAATTATATACTATGAGACAACTTGTATTCATTGATTCTAAATTTCCTTTTGGAAAAATCTGTTTAGTTAAAGTTTAAAGTCATTGTTACAGACTTTGCACATTTCGTGCATTTAAACATCAATAAGCAAATTAGGGGGACATGCCTTTCGGAACCACAAAGTACATGAAAATTAGTTAACCATGAGTAAAGATAAATATTTTTGAAGTGATCTCATATACATGGATTTTTTTTTGTGCATGCATTTTATTGTTTTAAGTTACCATGTATGTCATATATAATCTACATGTTGCATATATAAACAATAAAAATTGAAATTTGAACATATCCTATTGTTAAATATATGTATATATAGATCTGCTTTTGACAATTAAATATCAAAACACATTGTCTACATTGATGGTTTGTGCTGGTTTGCTCCTGGTTCATAATCAATGGTAGTTTAATGAAGCAGTAATGCAGATATCCATTATCAAGTTGGTGTGGTAATTAAACAGCACATAATCTAATAATACAAAGGGTATCAAGACATGTAAATAGAAATAAAAATATTTCCACATGAAATGTGAAGAGGAGATTGAGTATAGAAGTACAAGCGAGAAATTGTACATGTTTATACATTTTGTACATACATTATTGGTTGTAACCCAATTTTGTTAAAACATACATCTTTCTATATGTGTCTTTCTATGTTGTGATGTTACACTATTGTTTCGGGTTAGGGTGAAGGTTGGCACCTATTAAAACGTTTAAACCTGCTGCATTTGTTTGCACCTGTCATAAGTCAGGAACCAGATGTTCAGTGGTTGTCGTATATTGATGTGATTCATAAGTGTTTCTCGTTTCTCGTTTTTTATATAGATTAGACTGTTGGTTTTCCTGTTTTAATGGTTTTACACTAGTCATTTTTGGGGCCCTTTATAGCTTGCTGTTCGGTGTGAGCCAAGGCTCTGTGTTGAAGGCCGTATTTTAACCTATAATGGTTTACTTTTACAAATTGTGACTTGGATGGAGAGTTGTCTCATTGGCACTCATACCACATCTTCTTATATCTATACACATACATGTATTGTAACTCTTTTGCAGGTGTAGATCCAAGATTTTAAAAAAGGTTGTGTGGGCCTGGCAAGGCAACGTTTGGACTCCAAACTTTGGAGTGATCCTTGTAAAAAGTCTATGCATTTATCATATACATTTATGTAGATCCATAAGGTGGGGGTCGCTGCCCCCTTAATCTGCCTCTGTTTTGTCTGTTTTCTTTGTATGTATTGTCCCTATAGATGCCTCTTTAACCATAATGTTGGTAAAATGAATAATTTGTCATATATATATTGAATATAAAATGTTTAGGGATGTTGAAAAACTTCAAAGAATAAAATAGGTTGCAATTCAATAATACATTTATGTATTAGAATTAAATTAATCCTCTTGTTAAAGGAGAAAGTTTTTTTAGCCTAAGATACAATGATGTATAAATTTTGCAATAAAAGGAATGACAGACATATATATGCGAAGTCTTCATGTATACAATGAATTTACCAAGATTTAAAAGTTTAAAAAAAAAAGTTAAATAGATACTATATATATATAGGAAGTCTTAATTTTTGACTAGGATAAAAAAAGATATCCATTTCAATGGGCTCACAAGGAGCATATTACAATATTAAACATTAGATAAATTTCAGTACATATTGCCACTTAAGTACATGTAACATTCTGGTTTTATTACTGGAAGGCATCTTTTTACACATTATTTATATTTTACACCCTGCCATTAAAAAATGTACAGTTGAAGTATGATCCGGTAGGAAATGTCACCTCACTTATGTGTAACATTTATCTTACAATACATTTCTTATATTATTTCTATTTTGATACATTATATATGTAGATTTGTAGGTAAATGACCAAGAAACCAATTTATTTGCCTAGAGTTTAAAATGCAGGTAAACAATTGACTACAATAGGAAGTAATAAAGGGCACATTTTACAAATTTTTAGTTACAGTTTTATCAAGATATAAGATGAAATTTAAATGTCGTCCTGTTTAGTTATATCAAATACATGTATGAATGAACATGGGATTGAAGACATGTATTGCTACCTGTGTGAAATTTTACCTGTTACTATGGTTCATTCATTATACTACAGGTGTAACAAGTTCAAGGTGACCTTAATGTCATTGAGGATGGTTTGTACTGTCCTCTTTGTCATTGACAGCAAAGTCAGATTCATATAAGTGAAAAATTACTATAACATTTTGCTTGTGTTCTTTATTATAACTGTCCAAATGTATTACATGTGCATACACATGTCCTATGCCAAGAAATGTTAAATATCAGTTATATTAAGGAGTTGATTAAATGGTTAGATAGCTATAGTGACCTAGAAGATAGAGGAATTTCTTTTTTCTGATTTATGATGAAGCTAGACCATTGACCTACTTTTGAGAATTACAAGTTATTTAGTTTTTTAGTTATAAAAAGTTGACTTTTGTATAATCAGCAAAAAATTTTTAAGATCTGCCTTAACAAGCATAATTTTGACACTAAATGACATAACAGCATAAACAATTTTTAGAGAGAACTTTTGTATGTGATATAAAACCTGACATGGCAGTTTCTTAGATTTATAAACAGTAAAATGATATTTTGTCTTATCAAAACAACAGTTATTTGACTTTTAACATAACAATCTAAATTATAAAACTTAAATCCTCAACATAGAATTTTGGGGACAGACATGCAGCTGGGATTTAAGCCCCCACTTCCCCCGCTTCCCCCCACCCCATTCAAATGTTGACATAATATCTTGTTGAAATTGTAACCCATTGATATTGACATATAAAAGGTGACTCATTCCAGCAGCACATTAGCGCATACCTTCATATAGGAGCCCATTGCAATTAATAACATCCATTTAATTCAAGATTGTGAGATAGAGTTGAGAACGAACTGCTATTCATTACTAATTATTAGTACTTTATTACCATAGTGTGTATAAAGTAAACATCACTCTCTGATAAAAAGGGTACCATTCAGTATAATTTTTAACCCAGACTTCTTACTAAAACATTTGTCATTAATTTGATTTCTTTTTTGTACAACAAAAATTCTGATAATTACTGTCTTTTTTAAATTTTAGGGTACCTGAATAACTTGGCAAGAGATTCTGACAGTGTGAAGGTTGTCCACTGCGCTGAATTTCATTTAGGAATGTCTGTTGGTAAGAAAATAACTAAATAGAAAATGAAGATTATGTGTAATCATTGTTGTTCTGATTTTCAGGGTACCTGTCTAACATGGCGAGAGACTCGGATGATGTAAAGGTTGTCAACTGTGCTGAATTTCATTTAGATCTTTCTGTTGGTAAGAAAACCAAGTGTTGTCCTCTTCTGTTTGTTTTCTTTGAGTGTTTAGGGTGTTCTAGTGATTAATATTGTATTTTCTTTAGTTGGTCACAGTCTTGTAGTACATGTATGTATTAGCAATTGCACCTATACCCACACATATAGTAAATTGAAAGTGTATAAATTTTCCACCTGATAGTGTATATAATCAGGTTTATTAACAGTCATGTCTCCCAATCCTGAAAACAGACAAATACATGTACATGTATTGTGAATTCAAATGTTATCATTTAATTAAAACAAGCTGTCATTCCTTTTAAATGTGATAGCTATATACAGGATAAATTGGACAAACTTTTATCTGACAAAACATCAGAAGCCTGACTGGTATTGCTTTTGATAATTTATTTTTTATAAAAGTTATAAAAATTGTTGATCTTTACAAATAAATGAGAATATATAAAATAAATGATCAGCAATTTAATTGCACCTACCACTTTGGAGATGCGATGTGTTGTTTTTTAAATGAAAAAGATTTGGAAACCATTTTACACATGATATTATTCATTCATTTAATTCACATGTATTTACTGTTTCTGAGTGTATACTGGAGTAACAAAATTTTTCACCAAGTTAACCTTCCTTCCTTGTACCTTTTTATCCTTTATTAATTAGGTTTTCAGAAGGAAACATTTTCTTCCAGTTATTTATTTGGCAAGTACAGTGGATGGGTGGGCGGCTGCCAACTGTTCCATGCAATAACTTATGAACTGTTCAAACGATGATTTTCAAATTTCAATATGTTGTTACTGATGACAAAATTGAGGTCAAGTTAGATATTGATGATTTTCACTTACACTGTTCAGGAGTTATTGTCCTTGATATATTGGAAAATGAGACATTATGTCATTTCTGTGTAATAATATATGAATTGTTCAACCCATGGTTTTCAAATTTTGATATGTTGTTATATTAGTGATTACAAATGGAGGTCAAGTGCAATATTAATGATTTTTACTTTTGCTGTTCAGGAGTTGTGGTCCTTGATAGATTGGAAAATAGGCACAGAACATTGCAGGTGACTGGTCAAAGCAATCTTTTTATTCATATTAACTTGTATCAAGTTTCGAACAAACTAAGATATTTTTATTACCTTGTGCTTAAACTATTTAGCTTCAGACATAATGTTTATTTATTTTTTATAGACAACCAACAAACAAAATTTTTGTTTCAAACAAGCAGATATTTGTTTTTAAAGATGCTGTGTTTTTATGCCCCTATCACGGCAGAGAGGGCATTAGGTGTTACCCTTGTCTGTCTGCACACCCAAAATTAGTTTCCGTTCTCTTACTTTAGTTTGCCTCAACCAAATGTTATGAAACTTATACACAATGTTTATTACCACAAAATGCAGATCAAGTTCGAATTTGGTGGCGTCACTTTTATAGTTCTCTAGTTATGTCCCTTTATAACTTTATATGCAAGTGGGGGCATCAACTGTGTCCCATGGGCACATTCTCCATTTATTTTGATTTATATTTGCATGTAAAAATGTTGGTTAAAATTATTTGTCATATTTATTTTTATGTTGGTAAATTAAGTTACAGTTTGTGTTTAAGCAAATACTGTAATATATAGTTTTAGTTTAACTGCATCAGTCCTTCAGTTCTGAATAATATAATGAATTGCTAGTGTGATAAAAAAGACATTGGTGTACTGCATTTGATCAGCGAATGTTAGGTGCATCCTGTATACTTATGTATTGTAGTGATGTTAACGAATGCTGCTTTAGAAAAACATTTCTTTTTTGTGTTGAGCTATCCTTTGAGGTTACCGTAATTTGTCGTGTATAATATGCACTTTTAACCCAAAAAAATGTAGTTGGTAGATGGGATGCGTATTACACGCAACTCAACGTTTTTTTAATTTAATTTTTTTTTTGTAAATTTTTTTCCCGTCACTATTGAATATTCAATTACCGGTGTGACATCCTGCATGAGTGAGCTTAAAATGTAATTAAGGATTAAGTAAGGGTGTGTACCAATTGAATAATCATGTCAACTTTTGGCAGTGCTCTTATTCAACATGATCAATGAAAAGAAAATATCGAAATAAAGAGTTATTAAAGTTTATTTACTGCTTATCAATTTAGAAAAATGTTTGAGGTCTTATTTTTTTTGTTCCATAACATTCTAATTATTTCTTGTATAATATTTGAACAGTGCATCTGCTTGGACAACCTTAGACAAACATTGATTTCAAAAGGGATCTTTAATTAATAAATTAACTTTTATAAAATTGATAAATGTTAATTACATGATTTTGAAGGGATGAAAAGGTGGTGCGTATTATACACAACTGCGTACTATACATGGTTAATACAGTATATTATATTATTCCTATTTTTGATTAACTATGGATTTTTTTTATGCCCCCACCGTTGCTGAGGGGGCATTAAGTTTTACTCTTGCACAATGCTAATTACCACAAAACACAGATCAATTTTGAATTTTGGTGGTGTCACTTTTACAGTTCTAGAGTAATGCCCCTTTTTCTGTTCTCTAACTTAAGTTTGCCCCAACTAAATGTTATGAAACTTATAAACAATGCTTATTACCACAAACTCAGATCAAGTACAAATTTGGGTAGCGTCACTTTTAGAGTTCTTGAGTTATGTCCCTTTATAATTTTATATGCAAGCAGGGGCAACATTTCCCATTTATTTGTTTTTATATGACCGCAAAAAAATTTTGCAGTCGTATATTGGTATGACATTGGCGTTGTCGTCGTTCGGCGTCGTCGTCATCGTCCGAAGACACATTGGTTTTCGCACTGTAACTTTAGTTTAGGTGAATGGATCTCTATGAAATTTTACCATAAGGTTCAATACCACAAAAGGAAGGTGGGGATTGATTTTGGGGGTTATGGTACCAACAGTTAAGGAATTAGGGGCCAAAAAGGGGCCAAAAATAAACATTTTTGTAACTTCCAGACATAATTTGTGTGTTAGTGTATGGATCTCTCTGACATTTTACCACAAGGTTCCATATCACACAGGGAATGCTGGGATTGATTTTGGGGGTAATTGCCTCAAAATATTAAGAATTAGGGGCCAAAAAAGGGACAAAAAACAAGCATTTTTCAAGTTTCATGACAATAACTTATGTGTAAGTGTATGGATCTTTCTGAAATTGTACTACATGGTTCCATATCACAAAGGGAAAGCTGGAATTGAGTTTGGGGGTAATTGCCCAAAATGTTTAGGAATAAGGGGCCAAAAATAAGCATTTTTCTAGTTTCCAAACAATAACTTGTGTTCAAGTGTATGGATCTCTCTGATATTGTACTGCAAGGTACCATACCACAAAGGGAAGGCTGGGATTGATTTTGGGGGTAATTGCTTCAAAATTTTAGGAATTAGGGGCCAAAAAAGGTGCCAAAAACAAGCATTTTTTTAGTTTCAGGACAATAACTTGTGTGTAAGTGTATGGATCTTTATGAAATTGTACTACAAGGTTCCATATCACAAAGGGAAAACTGGGTTTGAGTTTGGGGGTAATTGCCATAAACGTATAGGAACTTGGGGTCAAAAAGGGGCCCAAAAAACAAGCATTTTTCTAGTTTCATGACAATAACTTATGTGTAAGTGTATGGATCTTTCTGAAATTGTACTACATGGTTCCATATCACAAAGGGAAAGCTGGAATTGAGTTTGGGGGTAATTGCCCAAAATGTTTAGGAATAAGGGGCCAAAAATAAGCATTTTTCTAGTTTCCAAACAATAACTTGTGTTCAAGTGTATGGATCTCTCTGATATTGTACTGCAAGGTACCATACCACAAAGGGAAGGCTGGGATTGATTTTGGGGGTAATTGCTTCAAAATTTTAGGAATTAGGGGCCAAAAAAGGTGCAAAAAACAAGCATATTTTTAGTTTCAGGACAATAACTTGTGTGTAAGTGTATGGATCTTTATGAAATTGTACTACAAGGTTCCATTTCACAAAGGGAAAACTGGGTTTGAGTTTGGGGGTAATTGCCATAAACGTATAGGAATTTGGGGTCAAAAAGGGGCCAAAAAAACAAGCATTTTTCTAGTTTCCAGACAATAACTTGTGTTCAAGTGTATGGATCTCTCTGAAATTGTACTGCAGGTACCATACCACAAAGGGAAGGCTGGGATTGAGTTTGGGGGTGATGAATCATAAGGAGGTTCAACAAATTTGGGGGGGGGGGATTTTTTTCTTTAAAATTTTCCATTTTAAATTGGTTATTTCTGATTTATATATAAAAGCAAATAATAATGATATGGTTTGAATAGGTAAATTAAAAATTTTTAAGTTCTTAGACTACATTCATTCTGTGTCAGAAACCTGTGCTGTGTCAAATATTTAATCACAATCCAAATTCAGTGCTGTATCAAGCTTGAATGTTGTGTCCATACTTGCCCCAACTGTTCAGGGTTCGACCTCTGCGGTCGTATCAAGCTGCGCCCAGCGGAGCATTTTATTTCCTTGAAGTGACCATGCCAAAGTTAGGCTGTACCTTTAGTCATCTTTATTTTCACTTTTACTGTCCAGGAGTTATGGTTCTTGATATATTGAAAAAATGGCACTATGTGATTTCCATGCAATTACTTATGAACCATTCAACAAATGCTCTTAAACTTTTAGTATGCTGTTACTGATGACAAAAAGTTGGTCAAGTTTGAAATTATCAATTTTCAATTCTGCCGTTCAGGAGTTACTGTCTTTGATAGATTTGAAATTTGAACTGTATGTCGTTTCTGTGTAATTACTTATGAAATGTTCAGCCTATGCCCTCAAAATTTTAATTTGCTGCCTGTTACTGATGACAAACTAGTGGTCCAGTTTGATATTGACGATTTTTACTTTTGCCGTTCAGGAGCTATGGTCCTTGATAGATTGGAAATTAGGCAGAGAATGTGGCAGGTCTAAAAAGCCTGAAAGCGCCTTTCGATTAGCAGAAAATCCAGTTTGCTGTCACTTTGACAGCTCATTTCTTGTTTGTGATTGGATTTCTGTATCATTATACACCAAAGATAATCTTTTATTAGAATGCATGATATAATATAGACATGACTATATGTATTTGACATACATGTATTTAGTATAGAAACCTTCTTGTATATAGCATGTGATCTATCTGGAATATACTCTTGTTTTATTTGTTTATCATAGATTAACCTTCAGTTACTATACATGTATAATTGATTTTGTTGCAGGTGGTCAATTCTTGTTTGAATTCATCAAGAACTATTTAAAAAAATACCAGACATTGAAACCAAAATTGCTTCAGTGGAGTATGGGTAAAGCTGAAGTAAAGTCACCTGAATTCAGCTGTTTCACCTCTCACTGGCAAAAATATCACACGCTGTGGATTCATTATTAATTGTGAGATACCAATTTTTGTGGAATTCTTGGGTATACATGTAGTTAAACCACAAATTTTTAAAATGTTAAGCGAAGTACAAATGCTTTAAAAAGACTTATATGCAATTTTTTCCAAAGGCACAAATTTAAATATCTACAAAAATGCAAAATTTTCACAATCCACAAAATTTGGTACCCACAAAAATAAATGAATCCACAGCACTTAAATGTGATTAGCATAGAGACTTTGTGGCAGTTTATTTGAATGAATCAGCAAATATCTGAAATTAATGTTTGTATGAGCAATAGCAAAACGATAGCACAAAAATCAGTTAAAAAGATTTTAAGTTGTTTTTGAAAGTGGTATAAGACAAACTGACTCTATATATCTGTAATGCTAACTTACCTCTACATGTACATACTTGTACATGTATCTATTAAATATTTTCAACATTGTTGCAATAAAACAATCCAAAAAATGACATACAATTCAATTTTTTTTAAATAGTAAATGAACAACCAGGAAAACAAGTATTTCTTGTACTACTGGGACAAGTTTTTGTCTTGTCAAAAGAAATCAGATTTTTAACAATCATGCTCTTAAACACTTTTTTGTCTTTTTGATTTTAGGAATTAATTATGATGAGAAACAAATTGCTCAAATAACCGACCAGGTGAAGAAACAACAAAACGAGGTTGATAACCTGAAGAGTAAATTTGTAGATAAATTGAGAGGAAAGGTAACATTCTTTTATACCATCATGACCATGCTAAACACTTATATTAATCAAGAATTCATTGATAGTTATTCTTCACTAGTTGTTGCTTAGAAAAAAATGTTGCCCCCACATCATATTGTATGATGATTGTAAGTTCATTTCGTGTTGCCTGATTTATATTTACCACAGACATGTTAACCATTGGAGTCTCTGGAAGTCATCATCAGTTGTGATCATTAAAATCAAGGAAATCATAATGAATTGTAATGGTTTATGTGTTCTATTTAATATTAACTAATGGGGGTAAAGATCATGCATTTCTAACTTGGATCTTATTGACAAAAATGGTCACTCTATACTACAACCTTGTTAACTATAATGACTCTGTTTGAAAGGGAATTGGGTTTGAAAGTGGTTCCATCATAAATATTTAACTAAAGTTTGATAGCATTTGTTATTGGTTCTTATGATTTTTCTAAAAAAAAATATTGATGTAATTTTATTGTGAAAATTTTCAATTTTTCGTAACAATTTCAAGTATGTTAGATGGCTGATAGAGTCATCAATCTATAATCTTAACATTCTTAAAGAAGTCTCAAATTTATCTGTTAAAGTTTGATAGGGACTGATAAAACCTTGACTTCCAAAATATGAATCTTCAACTGTAATATTCTTACTTTTTATGACAAGTTTTTGTCTTGCCTTGACGGAGTCAAAAAGCGAGACATAGGTATGCTGTTTCCGGCGTCGGCATCAACAATGTATTAGTTTGTGATTAAGTCTATTTTAAGGTGAACCACTAGTGGTTGGTCAATAATATTTAGTATGCAGTTGTATTAGCACTGGCACATCTCATTTCTATAGAGATTATTTTGCCCTGTCCCCTCAGTCATGGTCTATTGACTTTGAAACTTTTGCTTAGTTTACATGTATTTGATTAGGTCAGTTTATGGGGAACCACTAGTGGTAAGTCAATGATATTTGGTATTAAGCATTGGCATATCTCATTTCCATGGAGATTATATCCCCCCCCCTTTTTCCCCCTCAGTCATGGTCCATTGACTTTAAAACTTTTGCTTAGTTTACATGTATTAGTTTGTGATTATGTCAGTTCAAGGGGAACTACTAGTGGCTAGTGGTAAGTCAATAATATTTGGTATGCAGTTGTATAAGCATTGGCATATCTCATTTCCATGGAGATTATTTGGCTCCGCCCCCTCAGTCAAGCAGTTCAAGGGGAACCATTAGTGGTAGGCCAATGTTAATTGGTTTGCAATTGTATAAGCATTAGCACATCTCATTTCCATGGAGAATATCTGGTCCCGCCCCCTCAGTCATTGTCTATTGACTTTGAAACTTTTGCTTAGTTTACATGTATTAGTTTGTGATTAGATCAGTTTAAGACGAACCACCAATGTTAAGTCAATGATATTTGGTATGCAAATTTTCCATGGAGATTATATAGCCCCACCCCCTCATCATGGTTCATTGACTTTGAATATTTGCATAACTTACATGTTAAAGTATTGCTATTTTAATTTCAACATTTGCATTATCAAAAGTACAAAAAGGCGAGACATATCTCTGTGTTAATAGTTTATTATTACACACAAATAATGCATTTGCACTTTTTGCATTGTGAATAGGGACCAAATGATCAGGCATTAAAGGTAAAATATTTTAGTCTTCATATTTTGAACAATATTGCCATGCATGTCAGTTTTTTTTTGAAAATTAGATCAGTATTATAGCATCAGAAATTTTTATGCCCCTGCAAGTTGTGATATGTATAGATTATCAGCTTCCAGCTATGATGAAAATTACGGAGTGACTAAGTCGGGTGACATAGGCAAAGGGAAGCATGATAAATAGTTCTTCCTGTCCTTCTGAAATAATAAGTAATCAATACTATTGCACTATGCTTGCAGATACTCAACTGTTTGTTTGGTAACTGTATATGATGAGATACATATCAAATATTTACATTTTGTTTTGGTTGGCATACTTTTGACAGAATATATGGCTCCTGGACATAAAATATACTGAAAATTACACTTCACGAGACTTTTTGTTTTGCTGTGATTGCAGTGCAAACTTTTTTAGCCATGTTCAGATATTGAACTGCTATTTGTAAAGTGGAAAGTTACAGATCATGCTAGTGTTTTATTCTGGCTTATGTACATATGACAAAAGTATGACTCTTAAACTTAGAAAAGATAGAGATTTGGTTGTAGGCAGGTTATTATTATCTTGACCCATCCAGTATTTCAGCACCTTATAGAACCAAACCATGTGAAAAATTAAGTCAGTGTATTTGGGAACTAAAATGTTATAAATTTATATATGGTGTAATTTTGCTAACTCTGTTATTTTGTATAAGAATTTAATGTTAATGGAATGTTGATATCAACTTTTAAGAGTAATTGGCAAGTGTTTGTTAAAGTTGGAATATTGATTGATTGTTATACATGTGAATTATTTTTCTAATGTTCAGTAGCAAATATTTCATTCATATTGAACTAGAGAACAAGTTTACAATTAATGCAATAGGTAGGTTCTGTAAAGTTAGTTGACTTGGATGAAAGCCTATAATTTATGCTACCACTGGGATATGAGAGAATGTTGGGTCAGTGGCAAAAATTTTGCCTTGCATCAGGCCACTTTAGGATTTCTCAAAGAGTTATTGCAATGGCCTTCTCTTCACACAAGGTATCAGATTTAAAGTACTCATTTGAACCATAAGTGGTAAAATTTATATATATCCCACACAGCTAAATGACAATCAGTTCAGCAAGGGTTTTACATGTACTACGAACTGAGAAGTCCAAGGGATGACCATATTTCTATACCAAACCCCTGGGATCTGAAACTTGGAACAATTTTCTTTGAAGCCTCTGGTTCATTTGAAACCTGATTCCAAAGAAGTCCCAGATGCTTCACCACTCCCATTAGGAGGAAAAAAAATTATCAAATGTATGAAGAAACTTTTAATCTTCAAGAAACAATTTATAAAAGAAGTTGATATTGGAAGTCCTTTACCATGATCCTAGCTGATGAATTTTGAAAATGCAGTTTGTACTGTAGATTTTATCTACTGTTAGTCAGAATGTTAGGGTAAAATTGACATGTGTAGTAATATTTTTTGAGAGGTTTTAGATTTTTTATGATCTTCGGCTTAACTGACACTGCTTTATAAAATTATATGGCTATTGGTATGATTTATTGAATCTTAGTACTGATCTGCTGACAGCTTGGTTTGTTCTAGGTATAATCAGAGACATATAATACAATTATATGTCTCTGGTATAATTTAATACATCTACACTCATTTTCTTCTTTACTTTGAAATATTATTGCTTGCATCACCAAACAAGCTTATAACCAACATCATTCCATTGCACAAAAGGTTGTAAGTATAGCCAGTGTAAAGTTGCATTTGGTGGCAAGAGTCTCATCTAGTTAGACAAGAGGTTTGTTAACAAATTTATAAAGACATAATTTTGATGAAAGATCAAACAAATTGTTTAGGAAGTTAACCTGAATTAAAAAGATCCTGCTCATTACTGTGAAAAAAAGAGTTTTGATTGATCAGTAAGTATAGGTTATCAATATCTATAATACTAAATGCTGTGACCTGTTACTGTGTGTCACTTCTCCATTAACCAGCTTAAATTACTCAATATGACATTGTGATCTGAAGCTTGCATGCTGTCCTTACTTTTCATTAATTAGTTTGGATTATCTAGTAGAAAGTTTGGGGAAAATATGAATAAAAAACAACAATGTATCCAAACAATAAGACAACACTACAAACCTTAATGAAACAACATTTTACAAAAAACCCATAATAAATTTCAAAGAACAATGCAACATAAAGCTCTTTAAATGAAAATGAAATTGCAGATTCATATCAGTAAATTTGTTTCTTGTGTAAGCAAAAGGTTATTTGACAAAAGATATGACTTAATTCAATCATATTGTGTGAATGTTTTCATAGTTATACTAGAAATCCTGCTTATAAAAATTGATTTAGAAATAATGTCTTAGTACTATTACCAAAATTTAGTAGAAAAACATGATTTGCTGTTTCAGATGCTGGAACATATTTTGTAGAATTGGATACTAGCAGCTACACTATCCACGGAAGTGTAGTTTATTTGTGATTGTTTAATTAACAAATCTCTTTTGGGAAATGGTCATTTTGGTCAGATTTGTCAATTATGACATATATGATGTCACAGTAACATCAAAATGATGTTTGTATAATTATGTGACCATATATCATCCTCCTTATTTAGATATGAAAATAATGTAATATTGAATCAAGTTTTAATCTTTTTTTGTTATTTCAGACTTATAAGAGCAATGCATATAATTTCTTTAACTGGGCCATTTTAGCATGTTGTTATACCAATTATATTGGTTTTGAACTATATTTTTATACTTTCAGATTAAGGGTGAAGCCTTTATACTGACTGGCAAAAAACCAGGAGAAGCTATCATTGAAGCTGCAGAAACCCACAAAGCTAACCTTATCATCTGTGGGACCAGGGGATTGGGAAAGATCCGTCGTACCTTTATGGGAAGTGTTAGCGATTTCATTGTTCAACATGCAAGATGCCCTGTTGTTGTAGTCAGAAAATGATGAACTAAAACTTAGATAAAAGGAATTTTAAATTTATCTCTTGAGATAGTGCTCTGGAACAGGATTTTTATTAGTAAATTTATTGTTTATTTTTGTGCTTCAAATTTTTTTTTTTTTTTTTTTAAGTACATGGTTGTATTTATCAATGCTCTTGGTCATAATAGTAGCTTCTTTAGGTAAAAAAAAACTTTGAAATTAAGATATTTTGCATAATTTTAGATTTTGTAAGAATACTTGTCATATTTTTAGCTTATTTGTGAAATAAATAATTTGTTGAAAAATTATTTACAGTTCATGTCAAATTTTAAGCAATAGTTGTTTGTTTTGTTTAATGTTTTATATTTGTATATTAGATGATGAAGACATATTGGTTCTAAATAGTAGATTTTTTCACATTAGTAGATGTAGTGTAGATCAAGAAGTAGGTTTCTTGCCAAACTATTGTTGTTAGCTGGAATTAAAATTTGTTACAGAATTGCATATCAAATGATTTAAATTGACATCAATAAACTAAGGTGTTCTATGAATTTATCATAGGTGATTGTACAAAGCATCTTGTACTAACTCAGATTTTATTTTGATTCTTGAATATACAAGTTTTCCTAAAGTGCAATTTTAATTCCAGCTTGAAATAGTGACCTTTTTTATTACACTTTTTATACTAACTTTGCATGCAACGATAAAATGTAACATTCCTAAGGTTTTCAAGACCACTATATATTGAATTATAACATGTTCACTATTTATTCTCTGCTGAATTTTTTACTTTAATTCACATTATCCTTTTTCTTTATTTTAATGTAAATTATCTCCCCTTAGTCACCACATCATTTGATAGAGTGAAACGTCATGTGTTGTATATATTTCTCACTAGATCAGCTATGATTAAACAACTTCATTGATAAAAACAAAAAACTCATCAAATTGATTTGATTAAAATGACATAATAAGAGATTGATTATATTAATGACAATGAAATTTGATGTAAATTTAAATACATTTATATATTTCCACAATTACCAAAAAGAAAAAAAAATCACCAATAATTTGAAAGGTGACCCTTGAAATGAGTGTTTGTAAATACTACTGTAACTATACTAACCAGAGTTATGTATTGGAAGATATAAGAGCTGAATAATATTTGATAATTTTGGAATGTGAAGACAGATGATTGATTGCTCAAATGATGTTTAGATCATTGATGTCATTGAAATTTTAGCCTGTATGATAATTTTCTTGTAGATTAAACTGCATGCTAATTTACATAGTTGATCAAGCTTTTACTTAAATCTAATGGCTGTATGTGGTGGTAAAATGAAGATTTTCATGTTTAAATAAAGGAAAATAACTGGTATTTTACAATCTATCATGCACATTTTTTAGTTATGAAATATAATTTGGCTCAAGAAAAGATGTATAAAATGAGAATGGGAGGCCCTGTCATTTTAGACAAAGATACTACCTCGTTTCATGGCGATGTACGATTTTTTTCACAGCTGAACAAATGCCAAGCTTTTATGTTGATGTACATTTTTGAAAATCATGAATAATTTGAAATTAGATTAAATGTTCTGTACAGTGGCTAGTGCATTGAAAACATTACGTTCTCAAAAGAGGAATTATGTGGCAATTCCACAGAAAAAGTTTTATTGTATGAAACAGCTAATTTTACCCCAAAGATCTGCTTATATTAAGTTGCTTAGGAATAATTGTTAGATGAACTGATTGTCCGAGGAAAGATTACTCAATATATACTTAAAGATTTTTCATGTATGCAAAAATGTCAACAAGGAAGTGAATTAAATAGATTGTGTATTAAATTGTCACTTTTAGCACTAGACAAAGCTCTTTAGAATTAGACATTCCTTTTCACATGAACAAACACCACTTCTTGGTACAATAATTGATAGTTGTAGATTAAATTTAGATCAATATGAATTCTCAAAAAAAAAAAAAATGGAATCTCACAGAAAGTATAATAGATATACCGGTAATTAAAAATGTTTTTTTGATACAATATTATTTAATGATAAATATAATAAAACAAAATATATTCATTTTTTTTAGGCAATTTTACTTTATGTAAAGGAATACTGTTCAGAACATCAAATGCTCAGAAAATATATAATAGGTTATTTGTGCAATTTGTGTTGCATTTTGTTAATTTGTAGAAGAATACATTTTTTGTAGTACATTTTTGAAAACCTTATTTGTTAATGACATTACACTCTTCATAAGCAGATAGATTTTAAAATTTTGATTTCTTGTCATTTACTTATAATAAATAATTGTGTTGAATGATATATTCTTAATAGATAAATCTTATAAACTGATCAAGGAAAGAAGTAATGCATTTATAAGAAAAACATTTCTTTTTTTTACAAGATATTGGATATACATTTTTGTCATTTTAATTTATAAATTAATTTATTGTAATAATAATAAATTGTTTAGAAACCACAGCTTTTCATCAGGATCAAATTTTATCTTCCTATGTTAACAATTGCTGTTTGCCACCTTTAAATGATCTGATTTTACTCTACTTATGAAGAAGTGACTGTCCTGTGTTCACCATTTTATATTTCTTTGCTTGTAATTGTTCACATAATTGTATGGTATCTCTTCTCGTACCACTTACTCCTACATCTTTGTATACAGACAATAAAGATTTTGTAGATACGAATTCATAATAAATATCTAGGCAATGTGCGAGTGTTGATTTACTAAACTTCCAGGAAAAGAACTTCCAATAAGCTATCATTATCCTGCAATCAGCCGACTAGGGCTGGATGGATTTTGATGAAACTTTACACAGTTGTAAAACACTACCCGAGATGTAAAAGGGGAGATAATCATCTATATATTGCAATGGTAATAGCCTCTTGTAAGCACACTTCTGTGGATATTGATGAAACTTTGTTGTAGAATACTACTTTAGGGTCTTGGTCCATCATGTTAAAGAGGAGATAACAAAATTTACTATCTTCAATATTGCAAAATGTGGTAATAGTCTTTTATTAAGGGAAATTTCTAAACAGCATGACAGAAATTTAAGAAACTGAACAAAGTTGTCAAATGCTAACTGAGGATGTCTATACAGGAATATTATTCCTGCCTTACATGTTAAAGGTTAGATAATAAATATACTAGTAGTATTGCTAAGTCATATCTTTTTACGAGTTCACTCACAGTTCAGTATACAAATATTGTCTTTTGGTATCCTGCTTTTAGTTCACTGTTTTTGTCGCTGCTTATTTTGGGGTCTTCTCACTGGCCAGTTTTAGGTTGGTCTTTAAATATTACAAAAAGCATTTGGGTATCAAAGAACTTAATTCTAAAATTAATAATATTAAATTGCAGGATAAAAACAATATACATTGCACTTACATTGTCAGAAAATATAATTTTATTTCCACTTACTTCAAAACAGCACAAAAACTGTACCAATCTTGCTTTACTTCCAGTTTATAAAGGTCACAGTTTATAAAGGTCGTACATATTAATTTTATATTTTTTGGCAATGTTCATGTTCATATATTGTGTATAGAGTTTCAAGAGCTATCTCTCTTTCAGTGTATTTGGAGAAATGGAATGCTAGTTTTGCCTCAGCTATTCTTGATCTGTTCAGGCAATATATGTTGACACCTTCTCAGGAACCACTTGGAAAAACTGAGAATGGAAAATAAAGGAAATATTTAAAAGATTTACTCTATAGGCAAATCAACATATGACAGACAGATTTGGTACTGAAAGGACTTGTAATTTTGAGGCCTATCAAGACAGCTATTTGATTTTCATTGCACTCGATGGAATACTTTGTTTTGGTCTGTATCAAATATAGTAGGGCACTTTAGTCTTCTTAGACCATAGATTGATTTGGCTATTCTTTTGAAGGTCCTTTTTATACGACCGCAAAAAAAATTTTGTGGTCGTATATTGGTATGACGTTGGCGTCGTCGTCTGGCGTCGTCCGGCGTCGTCCGAAGACACATTGGTTTTCGCACTCTAACTTTAGTTTAAGTGAATGGATCTCTATGAAATTTTACCACAAGGTTCAATACCACAAAAGGGAGGTTGGGATTGTTTTTGATGGTTATGGTACCAACAGTAAAGGAATTAGGGGCCAAAAATAAGCATTTTTGTGACTTCCAGACATAACTTGTGTGTTAGTGTATGGATCTCTCTGACATTGTACCACAAGGTTCCATATCACAAAAGGAATGCTGGGATTGATTTTGGGGGTAATTGCCTCAAAATTTTAGGAATTAGGGGCCAAAAAAGGGGCAAAAAACAAGCATTTTTCTAGTTTCATAACAATAACTTGTGTGTAAGTGTATGGATCTTTCTGAAATTGTACTACAAGGTTCCATATCACAAAGGGAAAGCTGGAATTGAGTTTGGGGGTAATTGCCGAAACATTTAGGAATTGGGGGCCAAAAAGGGGCCAAAAAAAGGCATTTTTCTAGTTTCCAGACAATAACTTGTGTTCAAGTGTATGGATCTCTCTGAAATTGTACTGCAAGGTACCATACCACAAAGGGAAGGCTGGGATTGAGTTTGGGGGTGATGAATCATAAGGGGGTTCAAAATATTTGTGGGGGGGGGGATTTTTTTTTTTTTCATTTTTTTTTTCTTTTAAAATTTTCCATTCTAAGTTGGTTATTTCTGATTTATATTTAAAAGCAAATAATAATGATATGGTAGGAGATACACACCAAACAGGATGTGTAAATTATTATATAATGAGTATTGTGCAATAGCAAGAAATTTTCAATTGCGCAGTATTGCACAATAGCAAGAAATCTTCAATTGCACAGTATTGCGCAATAGCAAGAAATCTTCAATTGCACAGTATTGCGCAATAGCAAGAAATATCCAATAGCACAATATTGCGCAATAGCAAGAAATTGTCAATTGTACAGTATTGCGCAATAGCAAGAAATATTTAATTGCACAGTATTGTGCAAAAGAAGATACTTCGTATAAATTGCTTATTTCTTGACCAATTTCAATGGGGTTTTATTCTTGAATTCTTGGGTTTCTTTAATATGCTGAATCTAACCGTGTATTTAGTTTTTGGATTTTGGGCCCCGTTTTTTTAATTGGTCCAAATTGAGGTCCAAAGGGGTCCAAAATTAAACTTTGTTTGATTTCATCAAAAATTGAATTATTGGGGTTCTTTGATATGCCGAATCTAACCATGTATTTAGATTCTTAATTTTTGGTTCCGTTTTCAAATTGGTCTACATTAAGGTCCAAAGGGTCCAAAATAAAACTTAGTTTGATTTTAACAAAAATTGAATTCTTAGGGTTCTTTGATATGCTGAATCTAAACATGTATTTAGATTTTTGATTATGGGCCCAGTTTTCAAGTTGGTCCAAATCGGGGTCCAAAATTAAACTTTGTTTGATTTCAACAAAAATTGAATATATGGGGTTCTTTGATATGCTGAATCTAACCATGTATTTAGATTTTTGATTTTTGGGCCGCGTCAACTTTGTCCACATTGAGGTCAAAAGGGTCCAAAATTAAACTTTGTTTGATTTCATCAAAAATTTGAATTCTTGGGTTCTTTTATATGCTGAATCTAACCATGTATTTAGATTTTGGATATTGGACCATAATAGGTGAATGTCCAATTTAAAATTTTTAAGTTCTTAGACCACATTCATTCTGTGTCAGAAACCTATGCTGTGTCAAATATTTAATCACAATCCAAATGCAAAGCTGTATCAAACTTGAATGTTGTGTCCATACTTGCCCTAACTGTTCAGGGTTCGACCTCTGCGGTCGTATCAAGCTGCGCCCTGCGGAGCATTTTATTAGTCATATAGTCGCATACATCCTTGGCTTTCAAATTTTTCAATTTGAGCATTCCTGATGAAGGTAAATCCAGAAAAGCTCTTCAGATATACCAAATTCAGTACAAATTTAGAGAAATGTTTACTGGTAATATTTTGTGTGGTTTTGAAACTTACTTTAAAAAAAGGATACTTCACTTCATGGTAATTTATACAGGTTTGTGAGTAAATGCTACACACCAACTGATATTTAAAGTTTTATAAGTTATCCTTATTAAAAAGGGCTATTGTATTTTTATTCAAACTTGATATACTGGTATTTCTTCCCTTATTACCTATGCAAGAGGGCTGTTGAAAATAGCAGGCTAGAGACGATAGCAGTTGTCTTCTTTCTTGATATGAAGTTAAAGAACCATAAAGTTTTACTTAAATGCTGTTTAAATAATCAGATATTATATCACCACTTTTTGTGAACTCATTGGAAAAAAAAACTTGTTAGTCTGGGAGAATATGATTTATTTATTAGTTTGAAATTCGCTCTGAACTAGATTTCAGTAACTGCAAGCAATCTTATTTTGGTGCTTTGTACTGATCTATTGAGTTAAAACTTTTGCAACTGACACTGTCCCAGGTTAAGGGGAGTGTTGAACACTCACAAACATGTTTAACCCCGCCACATTCTTTATGTGTCTGTTCCAAGTCCGAATGGCGGATGCCCTATAGTGATCAATCAGTCCGTCCGTCTGTAACAAATTGTGTCCGCTCTATATCTAGAGAACCGTTATGATTTCAAAGTTTATACTTGACATGTATATTAACCAACACCAGAGGGTGTGTCATAATGTATGTACAACTTCCTAGGTCAAAGGTCAAGGTCAAAAACTTTGGTTTTAGTTGACAACCCAAAGTCCTATGGTAAAGATCGTGTCCGCTCTATATCTTGAGAACCGTTTTGATTTCAAAGTTTATACTTGACATGTATATAAACCCACACCAGAGGGTGTGTCAAAATTTATGTACAACTTCCTAGGTCAAAGGTCAAGGTCAAAAACTTTGGTTTCCGTTGACAACCCCGTGTTCAATGATAAAGATACAACTAATTGTGGCTGCTCTATATCTGGAGAACCGTTATGATTTCAAAGTTTATACTTGACATGTATATTAACCAACACCAGAGGGTGTGTCATAATGTATGTACAACTTCCTAGGTCAAAAACTTTGGTTTTAGTTGACAATCCCAAGGCCATGTCCTATTGTAAAGATCGTGTCCGCTCTATATCTTGAGAACTGTTATGATTTCAAAGTTTATACTTGCAATGTATATAAACCCATACCAGAGAGTGTGTCATAATTTATGTACAACTTCCTAGTTCAAAGGTAAAGGTCAAAAACTTTGGTTTCAGTTGACAACCCAATGTCCTATGATAAAGATACAAATTTTTTATGACACATTATTCACAGCGGGGCCCACAGAGATGGCTCCCATCTCAATGATATCTAGTTGTCAAAGGCAATTCTTGCTTCTGACTGCTTAATTTTCAAATTTAGTTTGCTACAAAACTTTTAAGCCATCCATTGTTTCAAACTTTACAGGAGTTATGGTTTTGGAGAATCAAATTAAGATCCCTTATTTCCTCCAGATCAAAAATACATTCATGGTGGAATTGATGCCATAAAGCTTCTCCCTGAATCCTATGAAACACTCATATTTAACATTAGCCTAAATTGGCAGTGTCATTTGAATTCAAGTAGATCATACCACATCTCCTAATTTTCACATAAAACTAAAGACTGAGCAACAGTAACCCCTTCTGAATGGAAAACTTTGAAAGTTTAACAGATAGGACCATTGATTAAAATCAATTAAAATCTGTTAAAGATAATAACCAGTTTCATTTGTTGTAGCC